CCCCCCCGTCCCACCCCAATTCCCCCTGCCCCACTCCCCTTCCCCCCTGTCCCACCCCAATTTTCCCCAAAAAAGGCGTTTTTGGGGTTTTCTCTCCGGCAGAGCCGCCTGCCCCGCTGCCAGCTCGGGCTCTGCGGGGTTTTCTACTCGGTCTCCTCGGTACCGGCGGGTCCCGAACCCCTGAGCCTCGAGCTGGGCATCGGCGGAGCCGCGGCCGCCACGGCCCCGGAACGGCCCCGGTGCGACGGTGAGATGGGGACCGGGACCGGGGGAACCGGCACCGGGGGAACCGGGACCGGGGGAACCGGGACCGGGGGAACGGGGAACGGGGTCAGGGGGTACCGGGACCGGGGGGGTACCGGGAATGGGGGGTACCGGGAACGGGGGGTACCGGGAACGGGGGGTACCGGGACCAGGGGGTACCGGGACCGGGGGAACCGGGACTGGGGGAACCGGGACCGGGGTCAGGGGGAACCGGGAACGGGGGGGTACCGGGACCGGGGATACCGGGAACGCGGGATACCGGGACTGAGGGGTGCCGGGACCGGGGGGGGGTACCGGGACCGGGAAGCAGGGGGATCAGGGGGGGTACCGGGACCGGGGGGTACCGGGACCGGGGGTGCAACGGGACCGGTGGGTACCAGGGCTAGGGGGGCAGCGGGACCGGGGGGGAACCGGGACCGGGGCAACTGGGACTGGGGGGTACCAGGACCGGAGGGGGGCAGCGGGACCGGGGGGGTACCTGGTCAGGGGGGACACCGGGACCGGGGGGGTACCGGGACCGGGGGAAATCGCAGCTGCCCCTCACTGGCCCCACCGAATCCGTCCTGACCCCGATTTTCCCGATTTTTTTTTTCCCGGTTTTCCCGAATTTAGGGAACCTCCACCACTACCTGCCGTGGTTTGGGGACAAGCCGGTGGCCGCTGTCACCTCGCACTGGGAGGACGCCGGGCACCGCTGGGACAGCCTGAACCTGCTGCGGGCGCTGGGACAGCGGCTGGTGAGAGCCGGGTGGGATAGATCCCAAATCCCGGTGGGAATGATCCCAAATCTGGGTGGGATTTATCCCAAATCCGGGTGGGATCGATCCCAAATCCGGGTGGGATCGATCCCAAATCTGGGTGGGATCCATCCCAAATCCTGGTGGGATCCATCCCAAATCCTGGTGGGATCGATCCCAAATCCCGATGGGAATGATCCCAAATCCTGGTGGGATCCATCCCAAATCCTCGTGGGATCCATCCCAAATCCCGATGGGAATGATCCCAAATCCGGGTGAGATCCATCCCAAATCCTGGTGGGATCGATCCCAAATCCCGATGGGAATGATCCCAAATCCGGGTGGGATCCATCCCAAATCCTGGTGGGATCGATCCCAAATCCCGATGGGAATGATCCCAAATACCGGTGGGATCCATGCCAAATCCCAGTGGGATCCATCCCAAATCCGGGTGGGAATGATCCCAAATCCGGGTGGGATCGATCCCAGATCTGTGGTGGGATTGATCCCAAATCTGGGTGGGATCGATCCCAAATCCGGGTGGGAATGATCCCAAATCTGGGTGGGATTGATCCCTGATCTGTGGTGGGATCGATCCCAAATCCGAGTGGGAACATTTTGGGGTGAGATTGATCCCAAATCCGGGTGGGAATGATCCCAAATCCTTTTGGGGTCACTTTGGGGGTGGGATTGATCCCGAATCCATGTGGGATTGATCCCAATTCCAGGTGGGATTGATCCCAAATCCTTTTGGGGCCACTTTTGGGGCCAGGATTGATCCCAAATCCTTCTGGGGCCGCTTTGGGGGTGGGATTGATCCCAATTCCAGGTGGGATTGATCCCAAATCCTTTTGGGACCACTTTTGGGGCCAGGATTGATCCCAAATCCTTTTGGGGCCGCTTTGGGGGCGTGATTGATCCCAAATCCGGGTGGGAATGATCCCAAATCCTTTTGGGGTCACTTTGGGGGTGGGATTGATCCCAAATCCATGTGGGATTGATCCCGAATCCTTTTGGGGCCGCTTTTGGGGTGAGATTGATCCCAAATCCGGGTGGGAATGATCCCAAATCCTTTTGGGGTCACTTTGGGGGTGGGATTGATCCCGAATCCATGTGGGATTGATCCCAATTCCAGGTGGGATTGATCCCAAATCCGGGTGGGAATGATCCCAAATCTGGGTGGGATCCATCCCAGATCTGTGGTGGGATTGATCCCAAATCCGGGTGGGAATGATCCCAAATCCTTTTGGGGTCACTTTGGGGGTGGGATTGATCCCGAATCCATGTGGGATTGATCCCAATTCCAGGTGGGATTGATCCCAAATCCTTTTGGGGCCACTTTTGGGGCCAGGATTGATCCCAAATCCTTCTGGGGCCGCTTTGGGGGTGGGATTGATCCCAAATCCGGGTGGGAATGATCCCAAATCTGGGTGGGATTGATCCCTGATCTGTGGTGGGATCGATCCCAAATCCGAGTGGGAACATTTTGGGGTGAGATTGATCCCAAATCCGGGTGGGAATGATCCCAAATCCTTTTGGGGTCACTTTGGGGGTGGGATTGATCCCGAATCCTTTTGGGGCCGCTTTTGGGGCCGTTTCCAGGAGCGGAACCTGGCGGAGCTGCGGCAGCACCGCGGGGGCTCGTCCGGGTCCGTGCGGGCGCGGCTGCTGCGGGAGCTGGCCCAGGACTGCACGTGAGCCCCCCAAAAACCCCAAAAACCCCAAATCCGCCAAATCCTCCGGGGGGGAAAAACGTGGCCACCCCTCGAGTTTGGGGGAATTTGGGGCATTTCGGGGTGGGAATGAGGTTTTTAGCGGGGTTTTTTGGCGTTTGATGGGAAACCCGAGGGGATTTTAGGGGTGGAACCGCTGCTCTCGGGGTGTTTTTGGGGCGATTCGGGGCTGTTTTGGGGCGCTGCAGGGACGCTCTGGGCTGGCTGGAGGCTCAGCCCGCCGTGACGGCGCTGGACCAGCAGCTCCGCGGCTCCCGGCGGCTCCTCCTGCGGCAGCTGCGGCGTTTGGCCGAGGGGGACCCCGAGAAAATTCCGGAATTACGCGGGGACGCCTTGGGGACGGCGGCTCGGGGCTGGCTGCGACGCGTGGCCGCGCTGGCCGTCGAGGTTCGGGAACAAAATCCCGGGATTTGGGATAAACGCCAATCCGGCGCCGGTTCGGGGTGTCACGCGGCGTGTCCCCGCAGCCCCAGGCCGGTGTCCCCGACGTGCAGCTGTGGCTGGTGAGGGGACAGCGGCGGGTGGCCTCGGCTCGCGTGGCCGCCACCGATGTCCTGCACTCCCCGCGTGGCCCCGGCGCCTGCGGCCGCCTCTGCGGGAGGATCCTCACCCTGTTCCTGGTGGGAGCGCTGGGTGTCCCCTGGGTGTCCCCTGGGTGTCCCTGGGTGTCCCCTTGGTGTCCCTGGGTGTCCCCTTGGTGTCCCCTTGGAGTCCCTTGGTGTCCCCTGGGTGTCCCTCAGTGTCCCCTTGGTGTCCCTTGGTGTCCCCTTGGTGTCCCCACAAGCCCTTTGTGTCCCTCGGTGTCCCTCAGTGAACCCTTAGTGTCCCCTTGGTGTCCCTGGGTGTCCCCTCCATGTCCCCTCAGTGTCCCCCTGGTGTCCCCTTGGTGTCCCTCAGTGTCCCTCGGTGTCCCCTTGGTGTCCCTAGGTGCCCCCCAGTGTCCCCCAGTGTCCCCTCCATGTCCCCCAGTGTCCCCAATGTCCCCTCTCTGTCCCCCAATGTCCCCCCCATGTCCCCGCCCGTGTCCCGCCTGTGTCCCCCCCTCGGTGACACTTTTCTGTCGCAGGGCTGCGGGGACAGCCAGGCCCAGGTGCGGCTCCGGCTGTGGCTGGGCCGGGTGGGCGAGAGCGGGGACCTGGAGCGGCTGCTCGGGGGGAGCCTGAGCTTCTACTGCCACACGGTGGGGACAGACATGGGGACATGGGGACAGACATGGGGACATGGGGACAGACATGGGGACATGGGGACACACAGAGGGACATGGGGACATGGGGACAGACATGGGGACATGGGGACACACAGAGGGACATGGGGACATGGGGACATGGGGACATGGGGACATGGGGACAGACATGGGGACATGGGGACACACAGAGGGACATGGGGACATGGGGACATGGGGATGGACATGGGGACATGGGGACACACAGAGGGACATGGGGACATGGGGACAGACATGGGGACAGACAGAGGGACATGGGGACATGGGGACAGACATGGGGACATGGGGACACACAGAGGGACATGGGGACATGGGGACATGGGGATGGACATGGGGACATGGGGACACACAGAGGGACAGACATGGGGACAGGGTGGGTGAGAGTGGAGACCTGGAGCAGCTGCTCGGGTGGAGCCTGAGCTTCTACTGTGAGACGGTGGGGACATGGGGACATGGGGACAGACATGGGGACATGGGGACATGGGGACAGACATGGGGACATGGGGACACACAGAGGGACATGGGGACAGACATGGGGACATGGGGACAGACATGGGAACAAACAGGGGGACATGGGGATGGACATGGGGACATGGGGACAGACAGGGGGACAAGGGTACAGAGAGCAGGACATGGGGACAGACAGACATGGGGACACCCCGGGAGGGGCCAGCCCCGGGGAGGGGACACTGGGACAGACATGGGGACACCCCGGGAGGGGCCAGCCCCGGGGAGGGGACACTGGGACAGACATGGGGACACCCCGGGAGGGGCCAGCCCCCCAGGCTGTCCCCTGAGCGCAGCCCGTGTCCCCTCCCCAGCTCGAGGAGCAGACGCGGCTCTGGGGCCATTGGGGGCCCCGGAAGATTTTGGGGCTCCCCGCGTTCAGCTCCGGGCCCCCCCCGGGGCAGCTCCGGCCCCCCCCGGGCTGGCGCTGGGCCGGGCCCTGGAGCCTGGAGCGGCCGCCGAGGTGAGCGGGGGGCGAGGGATCCCCTCCGGTGTCCCCCGGTGTCCCCCGCGCTGTCCCCCGGTGTCCCCAGGGTGTCCCCCAGTGTCCCCAGGGTGTCCCCCGGTGTCCCCAGGGTGTCGCCGCGCCCCGAGCCCGCGGTGAGCGCGGTGCTGGAGGAGCTCTACGAGACCCAGAGGAGAGAGCCCGGAGGGAGCTGGAGCCCCGCCGGTACCGGCAGCACCGACTCGGTGAGTGCGGGACAGCGGCGGGGACACGGGAGGGAACACGGGAGGGGACACGGGAGCACCGGGGACATGGGAGGGAACACGGGAGGGGACACGGGGACACCGGAGAGGACACGGGAGGGGACACGGGAATACCGGGGACACCGGAGGGGACACGGGAGGGGACACAGGAGCACCGGGGACACCGGGACACCGGGGACACCGGAGAGGACACGGGAGGGGACACGGGAGCACCAGGGACACCGGGGGGGACACTGGGGGGGACACGGGAGCACCGGGGACACCGGAGGGGACACCGGGGGGGACACGGAACAGCACCGGGGACACCGGGGGGGACACTGGGGGGGACACCGGAGCCCCGGGGCTCAGCTCGCGCCCGGCTCTGCAGGACGGACAGGCGGTGCCACCCAAGGAGGAGGTGGCGTGTCCCCAGGGCTGGAGCGTCACCAGCGACTGGCACGTGGACACCGAGGGGGACGTGGATGAGGACGGTGAGGGGGGGACACCGGTGGGTACAGCAGGGTGGGGGGACAGGGACAGGGTGACAGGGACACAGTGACAGGGACAGGGTGACAGGGGCAGGGTGGACAGGGACACGGTGACAGGGACAGGGTGACAGGGACAGGGTGACAGGGACACAGTAACAGGGGCACAGTGACAAGGACACAGTGACAAGGACACAGTGACAGGGATGTGGTGACAAGGACAGTGACAAGGACACAGTGACAAGGACACGGTGACAAGGACACGTGACAGGGATGAGGGTGACAGGGATGGGGTGACAGGGACACGGTGACGGTGTGAGGGTGACAAGGACACAGTGACAAGGACACGGTGATGGGGCACAGTGACAAGGACACAGTGAGAGGGACACGATGACAGGGACACAGTGACAGGTACATGATGACAAGGACACAGTGACAAGGACAGTGACAAGGACACAGTGACAAGGACACGGTGACAGGGACACAGTGACGGGGTGAGGGTGACAGGGCTGGGGTGACAAGGACACAGTGACAGTGACATGGTGACAAGGACACAGTGACAGGGGTGAATGTGACAGGGACACGGTGACAAGGACACAGTGACAGGGACACGGTGACAGGGACATGGTGACAAGGACACAGTGACAGGGACACGGTGACAAGGACGGTGACAAGGACACGGTGGCAGGGGTGAATGTGACAGGGACACGGTGACAGGGACACGGTGACAAGGACGGTGACAGGGACACGGTGGCAGGGGTGAGGGTGACAGGAACACGGTGACAGTGACACAGTGACACAGTGACACAGAAGGAGCTGTCCCCTGCTCTCAGGGTGGCAGTACGGGCTGGGCACGGACGATGGCAGTCCCCTGGCAGGGTGGCACCGCAAGGGACAGCCCTGTCACAACCTGCGGCGGCGGCGCTGGCTCCGGATCCGCCACAGGGACACCGAGACACGGGACACGGACACGCTCAGCACCCTGGTGACAACCGCGGGGACAGGGACGGGAGGGTGGAGGTGGCAGGAGGGAGGTGGCAGGGATGGGGTGACAAGGATGGGGTGACAGGGATGGGGTGACAGGGATGGGGTGACAGGGATGGGATGGCAAGGATGGGGTGGCAGGAGGGAGGTGACAGGGATGGGGGGACAGGGATGGAGGTGACAGGGACGGGGGCTTGGAGGTGACAGGATGGGGTGACAGGGGTGGAGGTGACAGGGATGAGGGTGGCAGGAGGGAGGTGACAGGGGTGGAGGTGACAGGAATGGGATGACAAGGATGGGGTGGCAGGAGGGAGGTGACAGGGATGGGGTGACAGGGATGGGGTGACAGGGGTGGAGGTGACAGGGATGGGATGACAAGGATGGGGTGGCAGGAGGGAGGTGGCAGGATGGAGGTGACACATAGGAGTGGCAGGATAGGGGTGACAGGGATGGGGTGACAAGAATGGAGGTGGCAGGACGGTGGTGGCAGGGAAGGGGGTGGTGGGGATGAGGGTGACAGGGCTCTGTCCCCGTGTCCCTGCTGTCCCCGTGTCCCGCTGTCCCCGCTGTCCCCGTGTCCCGCTGTCCCCGTGTCCCGCTGTCCCCACTGTCCCCGTGTCCCGCTGTCCCCGTGTCCCGCTGTCCCCGCTGTCCCCGTGTCCCGCTGTCCCCGTGTCCCGCTGTCCCCACTGTCCCCGTGTCCCGCTGTCCCCGCTGTCCCCGCTGTCCCCGTGTCCCGCTGTCCCCGTGTCCCGCTGTCCCCGCTGTCCCCGTGTCCCGCTGTCCCCGTGTCCCGCTGTCCCCACTGTCCCCGTGTCCCGCTGTCCCCGCTGTCCCCGTGTCCCGCTGTCCCCGCTGTCCCCTGCCCCGCCGCAGGACCCCGAGGAGCTGTGGGAGGACGAGGCCTGGCACCCCGAGTGTTTTTGGGGCTGCCCCTTCCAGCCCAAGCTCCCGGCGGGTCCCCGGTGCCGCCGGCGCCGCTGGCAGCGCAGCCTGGGCCCCGCC